AAGACGGAGCGGGAGGCTCGGGGTCCTCCACCGGCGCGGCCGCTGAGGAGGCTGCCGGCGGCGGCGCCCCGTCCGTTCCCGCCACCGCCGCCATCTTGGGCCGGTGGCTGCTGGTGCGCCTGCGCGTCAGCCCCGCTGTCAATCAGAGCCGGAGTTCCCGCCCTCCTTCCTGTGGCCACGCCTCGTCGGTCTCCACGTGCTCCCAGATGCCTTCTGGTGCCGGAGGAGAACTCATACTGGTGCGCCTGCGCGTCAGCCCCGCTGTCAATCAGAGCCGGAGTTCCCGCCCTCCTTCCTGTGGCCACGCCTCGTCGGTCTCCACGTGCTCCCAGATGCCTTCTGGTGCCGGAGGAGAACTCATAGGACGGCGGTGCTCATTTCCAGCGTGGCTCCCAATCGAGTTTGGGTTTGTTTTTAGTGTTGTTATCACGTGACTTGAATGTTCTTGAATTGGTGATATCAGACAACGCTAGGAAAACCCGACGAAGCGAAATATTACTTTTCATAGCAAGAAAACCCAATTACTCTTGCTGTTAGTTGAGTTGGCCCACAACAAATTGCAAATGCAGAAGCTATTTAATACTGTTTTTGAGCCAAGTGAAAATAAGCAGAAGACGATGTGTACTATTAGTAACAAGGTATAGATAGGGGCTCTGGGGCAAGTGATGCTCTGTTTCTTGGTGCTTGGGGGGGGTCAACAGTGGGAGGGCTTCTAATGTCCTGGCCCCACTGGTGGACCTCCTGATGGCCCCTGGTATTTCTGGCCACTGTATGACACAGAGTGTTGGACTGGATGGGCCTTTGACCTGATCCAACATTGGTGTATCTTATGTTAAGCTTTCAAGTTCTCCAGAACTCTTTATTGGCTGGATGCTGAGCAGTCTGGTCAGAACAGGTAAATTAAGAGCATAAGAGACGCCAATGTTGGATCCAGGTGCCATCAGGAGGTCCACCAGTGGGGCCAAGACATCACTTGCCCCAGAGCCCCTATCTATACCTTGTGGCTAATAGCCACTTATGGACCTCTGCTCCATATGCTTACCTAATTCCCTTTTGAAGCCGTCCATGCTTGTAGCCGCCACCACTTCCTGTGGTAGTGAATTCCATGTGTGAATCACTCTTTGGGTGAAGAAGGACTTTTATCTGTTCTAACCCGACCGCTCAGCAATTTCATGGAGTGCCCACGAGTTCTTGTATTGTGAGAAAGGGAGAAAAGTACCTCTTTCTCTACCTGCTCTATCCCATGCATAATCTTAGAAACCTCAATCATGTCACCCCTCAGTCATCATTTCTGCAAGGTAAAGAGCCCTACGTGCTTTAACCTTTCCTCATAGGGAAAGTGTTCCAACCCTTTTGTCATTCGAGTTGCCCATTTCTGCACTTTTTCCAAAGCTATAATATCCTTTTTAAGGTGTGGTGAGCAGAATTGCACACAGTATTCCAA